GGAAGCTGTACGCCAGCTCCCTCGGCCAGTAAAGTGAGATGAGCGCCGCAACCCCAGAGTCATCCATGACTGGACCTAACGGTCAGGGGTCCCTTTACCTTTAACCTGCAAGAGTCAGCTCATGTTTTCTTGAAGTTTTAAATTATGTTTTATAGATATTTGTGGACACATTTTAATGCATTTTGTATGTTGCAAGCCCCACATTATATTTTATGACACATTTTCAAATAAATAAAATAAAAATATCGCCAGAATGGTACCCAGGTTCCTTATCTAACAAGGGTGAAAAACTATTTCTCTTGCTTTCCTACCAAAGGGCTGTTCATTTTCAGGTGATACAAGGAACTGCTTTATCCCAGGTTTAGACTATTTGTCCATCTAGCGTTGGATCATCCACTCTGATTGGTAGCAGCTTTCCAAAGTCTCATGTGGAGAGAGGTCTTCCTCCTCATCCGCTACCAACTTTTTGCCCGTTGTTTAATAGAGATACTGGGGCTTGACTGAACCTGGGACCTTTCTGTATATAAATCCCACACTCCACCCATGAGCTACAGTCCCCTTCCCTGATTTTGCAGTTTCCAGCTTTTCAACCAGCAAAAATGGAACTTTGGTGTTCATTACATCTTTACACAAAGTTTCCATGTAAAGCTGAGATGCAAGCGATATAAGACCCCAAAGGGTTCAGCAGTTCTTAAAGCTGTCAAGAGTGAGTTTAGAGGTTAAGTATGGTTTGGGGGCATCATTCAAAAGGAAATGCTTGCAACGTATAGCAGAGGCAAGCTGTTTCACAACAAGCATGTTGTCAGTGGCTCTTCTTCCAAGCGATGCTTCCTCCCAGGTGGCTGCTCCTTTCATACAGGATTCACGTTGCGAACAGCACAGATCTGCCAAAACACAATTCTTTTATTCAGTAGTTGTGGGAATGAGAGGAGCCCTGGAAATCACAGTCGATGTGTGATAGAAATACTGCGGAACAGATGATAGCTAGAAGCAAGGGGCTCAAACTTTTTCAGCCGTACTAATGCCAGGGTTAATCAGCCTATAAAACTGAGAGAAATGCCACTTCATTTGGCAGAAAGGTGGGGCACAAATTAGATAAACAAATATTTGACCTTTGGGGGAAATCATACACATGGTACCTCTATATTTTCCCCTTGTGGTGGGGCAAATTGGAGAATAATTTAAATTTTGAAACCAGCTTGGGGAATATGTTTAAACTACCTATCCCCTAGCACCAAGGTGCCCTGATCTGATCCCCCGAAGAAGGGGGGGAGTTGGAGATCCATTCGTGAAGCAAAGTCACATTGAGTTTAGCCCTTGAACTACAGCTGTTTGAAGTACTATTGTCAGTTCTAATCTCTCACAGGCAGGCTGAAAAGTGAACCATATACTAAATACACGCATTACAAATTTCCTACAGAAATGCTTCAGTATAATAAAGAACTTCATCTGCATATATATAGTTACATGCGACAACTGCGCATAGGAGAGCTGCTTCTGCTTCTATATGGCTTAAAGCCAGATGTGACCATATGTTTTCATTTCTGAAAATCTAAATGGCAGCAGCCACCCGCCACAAAGTGAACTGACAACTTGGTGCCCTTTATAGGCACCCATGAATACATGCAATCATCATAGGTGGTGTTCCAATGTCCTGTGTTACATATAGCTTTCGTATTGTTTCCCTCTTGTGAAGGAAACTTGTAATGCATAAAGGTTTGCTGGTCTTGCTGATGACATAAAACATGAGCAATAATTTTATTAGATCTCATTGCGGATAAACATTATGAAATTTACTTAGCACAGCCTGCTATTCTACACAAGAAATGGGCTGTTGGTTGGTAGGTGCTGTGTTAATTAAATTTTAAAAGTCTTACAAAAGTCTGTTTCAGGATAGAGATTACCAGACATAAGGCATTTTTCTATCACAAGTACCATCAAAAGCAGCTTTCTGGATGGGACGTATTATACTCACTTCCTGGCAGGTGGCTCACTGTTGCTTCTTGAGACAGGGTAGAGAGCTGAGTGTTCTGTTGTTGTGTTTCCACCACCCAGATTTCTCCACCACATCCTCTCATCCTTCCTTCTCCACCCCTCCTGGTAAGCAAGAGACTCACCTACTTGGAAATTAACTTAAAGGCTCTGCCCCAGCCAGCAAGCCAAGGCCTCATCATCTGCTCCCAGAATCTGGAACTCCCTCCCTAGAGAAGCCAGACTGGCTCCCTCCTTGTCCTTCTATCAGCAAGTGAAGACTTTAACTTCTTCCAACAGGCTTTTGAGAACTGATTGCTTTCAATGAAAGTCCTGTGCCATGCTGTTTTTATCGGAATTGATTGTATGGTTTAAATAGATTTCATATATGTATATGAAAGGTAGAAGATTATAACAAGAGTCTTTGAAGAATAAGGGCATGGTCAATAATAGTATGTGCCACCACACATAACCTTAATTACAGAAAATGATGCACAGCTTAATGACTGGGTTAAGAACATATACAGCAAAAACATTTTCATAATTATATTGGCAAAGTTGAAGGTCCGCTGTTGGAAAACAGCTGAAGTAAAGTTCAGTTCTATATTGCCTAGTAGTCAGAATTGAGCATTTTCCCATGGAACAAAAATATGGTTCAGATTTATGGAAGGCTTACGTCTAGCATTTCTCCTGCTGCAGAATTCCTCGTTTGGTCAGTTAAATTTGAAATAAGATCTGACATAGTAGATAGTACTGTTGATCAGACTAGACCAGCCGAAGGAGAAAATGTAAAATTCTGCAGTAATGTGCTAAAGCAATTCTGTTATTCATTGCCAGCTATTTGGGAATTAATCTCTTTTCTTTTTTTACTTCTGGTGAGCGTCATCAGGCACAGTTTACAGATGTATTGAAGTTTACTGCTCCTTAAAAGCGTACATTTGCTTTGGTACTATGATGTCCTGGAAATGGCACAGTGCCACACTTTTTACTGAAAAATCTCATGTGTGTAATTGTAAAATACAATTGAAGTGGAATGAAAATATTTTCCTTTCAAAATTCAACTGTTTGGAGTGTTTGTTAAAAATTACACCACCATTGTTGTTGTTTAGTCATTTAGACTCTTCGTGACCCCATGGACCAGAGCACGCCAGGCACTCCTGTCTTCCACTGCCTCCCGCAGTTTGGTCAATGCTGGTATTACTTGGTATTACTTGGTTGAACTTGAAATAGTTATTTGACTCCATTATTATTATTATTATTATTATTATTAATCCGTTGAAGGTGTTGTACATGATCCCTTCCCTCACACATTTTTTCTTTACAACAATCCTGGGAGGTAGGTTAGGCTGAGAGGTTGTAAGGAGCTCAAGGTGACAGATGTATATGTGTATATGACAAATATGTGAGAAGGAGATCAAATATGGGAGCTTCCTGAATAGAATGTCCCTATTTTCATCTGAGGAGTGTTGGAAGGTATGCTTTGTATGACTTTCCCCAGTCACTTTGAACCTCAGGAGAGACCCTCTTAGTAGTCCCATATGCTGCTGAGCTTTATATGACCTCTAAGGCCAGGGCTTTTAGTGCAGTGCCACCAGCCATTTGGAATGTGTTTCTAATGCATATCAGACAGAAGAAGAGGTGCCTGATTTCTCTCCTCTGTGTTTTATTTGTTCTTGGTTACCCATACATGATTTAGCAGTTGTTGGGGTGGCAGTCATGAGCATTTCTTCTGTGAAATTTGAACACACACATACAGACACATATGGTAAGTCCAACTAGGTATGAACATGTTTAAACAGAATACATTTTGTGCTGCCAAGAGCATGGGTAGGCAAACTAAGGCCCCATCGCCTTCTAAATCCGGCCCACAGACGGTCTGGGAATCAGCATGTTTTTACATGAGTAGAATGTGTCCTTTTATTTAAAATACACCTCTGGGTTATTTGTGGGGCATAGGAATTTGTTCATATCTTTTTTCAAAATATAGTCCGGCCCCCACAAGGTCTGAGGGACAGTGGACCAGCCTCCTGCTGAAAAAGTTGACCCCTGGCCAAGACCATACTTCTGGAACAAAAATGTAAATGGGGAATTGATCTACTATTGTGGCGATTCCTTTATCAACATACATATTTGTTCAAGGGACTACTTGGGTATGTATAGACTTTCTCATCTTGACGCAGAAATAGTGGGAGGAATTCAACATAGTGCTAAGCGGATCCCTCTGCCAGTACAAGCCAATTGTGGGGCGAGGGGAGGGAAAACCCCATTGTGACCCATTACTTGAATTTGGTCCATACAGTACTATTTTCTTTTCTGAGAACAAATATCCAGATGAGCACACCATAGATTTGAAGGGAAGTGACAATCTCAAGCAATTCACACCATCTTATAGTGAGAGGCGCGTTCTGTTTAGCAGGAGAAAATTAGGATGAATCCACTAATGAACTTACCTACCAATATCCTCATTCTCTTGTTAAACAACTTTACAGAAGAACCACTTTGGGACAAACTGCAAGGAACAAGTGAAATAATTAGTTCTCTTGTGGTTCCTGGGGAATAACCCCCCCCCCCCCAATAATATCTCTTTAATTTATAAGTTAGGGCCATTATCCAGCACCATCTAGTGGAAGTAGCCAGCACATGTTTCTGTGATATTAGATTATGTTTGTACTACAGGATTTCATGGTAAAATTTGTGGGTTTTCGCTTCACAGACATAGTGCTACTCAAGCGGTACTCATTAGAGGAAGCATCCTTCATTTGATCCTAAATTTTAAACCTTGAATGAAGCTCCTCTTTTCACTAGATTTTCCTTTTCCTGGTGGCTGCAATTCCCAGAGTTCCCTGGGAAGAGGGGTTAATTGTCAAATTAACTCTGGGAATTGTACTTCGGTGAGAGGAAAAGCGGGTGTCCAAACAACTCTCAGCGCCCTTAACAAAATACAGTTCCCAGGATTCTTTGGGGGAAGCCATGACTGATTAAAGTGGTGAAATTTTAATTTATATGTATAGAGTAGATGTAGCTTGAATGACTCTTTTGCAAAATTAAGTTCCCATCCGGAAGCATCTTTAGTTTGGTTGGGGCTAATACACTTTCCGATACCATTTACTAATGACTTGTTGGGGTGGGGTGGGGGGTATTTTTTAATGAAATATCATAAATATCATAAATTATGAAATGCCAGTCCTAAGAATTAGGAGCAGCCTTATTTCCAGCCTGGTCCTATGGGTGTCTGGCAGGGACTGCTGCCGTGCTAGTGCTGGAATAAGTCATGCTTAAATACCATTGATAGGGACGTGGGTGGCGTTGTGGTCTAAACCACAGAGCCTCTTGGGCTTGCTGATTGGAAGGTCGGCGGTTCGAATACCCGTGATGGGGTGAGCTCCCGTTGCTCAGTCCCAGCTCCTGCCAACCTAGCAGTTTGAAAGCACATAAAAGTGCAAGTAGATAAATAGGTACCACTGCGGCAGGAAGGTAAATGGCATTTCTGTGCGCTGCTCTGGTTCGCCAGAAGTGGCTTAGTCATGCTGGCCACATGACCCGGAAGCTGTATGCCAGCTCCCTCATCCAGTAAAGCGAGATGAGCGCCACAGCCCCGGAGTCGGCCACGACTGGACCTAATGGTCAGGGGTCCCTTTACCTTTAAGTACCATTGAAATAAAATTGACCACAAAGATAAATTCAGTACCAAAATAAAACATACAAAGGAGCTCCAAACGGGGCACTGGATGTATTATAGCCGCTGCTCCAACCTTCCAGAAGCCTCTGATTTAAGCAATTGTGTGTGGTTAGTCAACTGATTCCTTTTTAAAGCCAAAATGTTGAAACCTTTCAGCTATAAGCCATTCTATTTTACCCCTCACAACATTATTATTATTATTATTATTATTATTATTATTATTATTAACACTACTATAGTATTTTTTCTATCTGCATACTTGCCAGGTCAATCCTATGTGGCATAATTATGACAGGAGTAAACAAAGGACAAAAGACCGCAATAGTAACAGTAGGTCAGGGATAATTACACCAGAAATGTGTGCATGTTTCCATTTGTACATGGCTTTAAAAGTTATGTTGGCTGTGGGCTTAACCCAAATTCATTCTATCTGCCTCAGGTACCTGCTTGAAACACTTCTCTCTAATCCTAGATTATCTCAATACAGGGATTTCCCTTGTTACTTTCAAATGCCAGAAGCACTTGTCAGATTGAAATGGGACAGCCTTTTTTAGAAACAGCACCACCTGGGATCACTCGTGTCTGCCGATGGGCAACTTATTTTATCATGTTGAGAAAATCCAGAGACAGCAGAATAGGAATAAGCAATGCACTCTGCTCGGTAGCAAAAGTCTTAAGGTTTTGTTGTGCTGACCTGCAAAACTGACCTGAAATTTTATTCTCATTTTGCCAGCCATTTCTCCCCCATGGCAGGTTATGGCCAAGTGTAAAGATTACATGCAGAGTCATTAACAACCAATAGAATAATACAGGGGACATTGAGAAAGACCAGCTACAGGGAACTAAACCTCTTCTCCAATGTCAGGCCAACACTTCAAAGGGTTATAGAGCATAACTTGCTGGAGAATGCATGACTTCGGTTTCTAAAAAACAAAAACCCCCCTTTGAGCAAACACTGCATAACTACTACTGCTACTACTACCATTATTACTACTAATAACATCTATTTTACTACTACTAATTGCGTGTTGAGACCTTTAAACCTCCCCCTTAAATAAATTCAGACAAGACTCAAATTTTGGTTTGGTTTTTGGTAGAATTTAGGTCACAACTTTATTGATTACAGCAAGTGACTGGTTGCATAGGCTCTGGTTCGACTAGCTCCCTGCACCGTTGCAGGTAGCGCTGACCCAGGGCACCAGCATAGGTCAGCCTAGGGTGAACACCTGGATAAGCGGAAAGCCGGGAGCAGGGTATCTCTGCCACCCAAATGCCCCCCTGGAATCAGGCATGGGCACAACCCCCCTCACAGGGTTGACCAAACCATCAAGTCCCTGGATTCATTTAACGGAATACCCTTCACATAGGGATGGTGAGGGCGTTCTCCCACCCCATCCCCTGAACCAGAGCCTATCCACAACCTTACAAGTTGTGACGATGTGCTGTGCGGCAGGCGAAACCCAAATGGCACCAGCCAATCAGCCAAGAGGGGAAAATTCCTGCCGTGCCCCTGTCCCAACGACAGACGACACGCGACGGCATAGCAAGCCCTAAATATAGGGAGAGGTGGGTGGGTGTTCCGATGCACGCACAGAAAAAGGAAGCTCTGGGTCACGTGCAGAAGTATAGATAGGTTCCTTGAGCCATTTAGCCTGCGTCCCATTGGCCTGATTGAACCCTGCATCAAGGGACCTACCAATCAGGTGTTGTGGCTATCCAAACGTACCCACCCACAACACCCACAACACAGGGTTAGCCTGCCAGGTCCCACCACAACACGTGCCCTCTTTAAGGGAGGACCCGATTGACAACATGTATTTATATAGCAACATTAATGTACATGGCTCTGTGCCCAATTGAAATACAAATTTCTACCCTAAAGGGCATGCAATCTAAAACAACAAATAATACAGTAAAAATCAACAGTTTAAAATACAGAATTACATTACATTACATAAAATCAAACCAGCCAACCAGACCCAAAGGATAAAATTTTAAAGAGAGATTTAAACATACAGAGTGAGGGAGCAGCCCACAAATGTTCCAGAAGATATAATATGAAATTTCTAACAACACAACGCTCATCCAATCTCACATGCTATCCGTTCACACAACCGTTATAATCATTCACTACCTCTCCCAACCACTTAGTCATAAACCACTCACACTCAACAATGTTACAACCCACATACAAAGGATCACTACCAAGTATACACATATAAGATATGCTCTTAATACCTGAAGCAGTAATGGACTCATGCCCTACTGCCACTGGACCACCTAATAATCCTTGCTCATCTCTCACCTCAGAGGGGTCCAGACCTGTACCAGAGCAGGCTTTTACACATAAAACAAATAATGTTCTAGGTTCTTTCAGTACTGCACTAGCTGTGTCGTCTAGTTTACTTCTCTATGTGTCACAAAACAAAATGGTGGTTGCTCCTTAGAAACCTGGAATCACTATAGCCTTTTCTTAGAGGTATGTCAGTGGGGACTATCATGATAAGTTCCTGCACTGAAAAATGGAGCACTGCACAACAGCCAAGATGTTGGATACTGACTCTTGTGCTGGACTCTAGGAATCAGACCTATGAAGCCACCACAGCAAACTGCTTAGTTGAAGGGATGATGGCTAGTCAACCAAGCAGTGATATCTCCAGAATCCATTTCAGTCTCATTCCATGGAGCCACTGCTATAAGTGCTTGCTTGAAAAGCTGACACAAACACTTAATTGCTAATTGATACGTGGCTAAAGTCTTTTTCTGGCAGTGCCCTGAACATTGATTGCAGTTGGCCACCAGATGTTGGGATTCAAGCCTTTATCAGGAGAAACTGGCCACTCTCCAGGCACCCGGCTTGATCTCCTGTTGACCTCACTGTCTGCATTCCCGGCAGGATCCAGGCTAGGTCGTGATAGGCGATCCTCCTCAGCGTGAGAAGAACACACCCCCTCTTTCCTGCCCCCCCCGGGCAGGGGAGAGAGATAGACAGAAGCGTATTTACATTCCTTTATTTCTGTCTTTGCAGCGTTACAAAAATCATGTCTGCTCTCTTCAAGCTCCTGCAGTCGAGAGACAAACTCCTCCTGTACTTCCTGTACAGCTCATATTACACTCTGAGCTAATTCCGGTGCCCTCTGCACTGTGAATTGACTGTCCCTCTGTTTCCCACGGAACAGTCCCAACATTCCCATTATGTTTTGCTTTCAAGCTACCAGCTC